TTTGAAAATTCACCAGGTTTTCACCAGGTTTTGAAAATTCACCAAGTTTTCACCAGGTTTTGGTCCAATGATATTTTCGATCCATTTTCACCATGAAAACACATAATTTTTACCAAAAAGTAGGCTCAAAACACTTCTTTTGGTGAATTTGGAACCTGTAAAACACTTCTTCGTGTTCACAACAAAGAAATCACCAGGTTTTCACCAAGTTTTGAAAATTCACCAGGTTTTCACCAAGTTTTGAAAATTCACCAGGTTTTCACCAAGTTTTGAACATTCACCAGGTTTTCACCAGGTCTGGAAATTTCACCAGGTTTTCACCAAGTTTTGAAAATTCACCTGGTTTTCACGCAGTAGCTATCTCCAAAGTTCATCGGATGTTCGTCAGTTATTTTACAGTCAGCCCGGTGTTCATTAAAATATGAATTTTGAAATGTCACCAGGTTTGCGCAAGGAGCGAAAAGACCAAGCGACCGTCAAAAATGATAACATGTGACCTGGATGTGCTTCCAAAATATCATATCATATCAACACAAATCCCATTGAGATGCTTATACTTATACTGACAATCTCAGCCTTTCATATCCAACCAAAAATATCTAATTAGTTTTTGTACGGTGGAACTTCCTGATACCACATGGTATTCACATGTATTTACAAATCATATTGAGGTCAGTAAAGTCAGCTGCCTTCAGTGGCATGTATCCAGCATTGAACTAAAAATGCAGCTGGGGATATCTTAAACCATCTTAAACCCACTGCAGAGGCTGCAGCATCAACAAGTGTTTTTGTTCACCTAATTTTGGGCCAAAACACTTATATGTGTTTTACGACTCTTGGAGCGCTCCCAAAACACTTCTTTGGTTTTGATATACCGTCTCGGTCTGGACAACCCCAACTTAGCAACTTAACAGATGACTGATTTTCTCGGCTGAGGAATGTTTCTAACTAACCGCTGTGAAAAACTGGGTTAGTTATGGTTATAGTAAAAAAAAAGAATAATGAAGATGGTTTTTTTATAGGATGAAAATGGTTATTATATGTTATATTTTAGTTTAATAGGAATCACTGATGACACGTAACAAATATTTGTTTCAGGATCTTCAAACAGGTTCTGATCCATTCTGACTTCTCATTTGATCTGAAGGAATGACGACTATCCTTGATGATTTTTGCAGATATGAGTTTTGAGCAAACATGAGCAAACGGTTTTCGAAACAGATACCCAAACACATTACCCAACACTGAAATTTTAGTGAAATCCCAGGAATTTCTTCGTGAAATCCCAGGGCGGATCCACCAGAAATTTCTTGGTGAAATCCCAGGAAGCAACCAACGGCAAGAGACGTGTGACGCACACGTTGCCTGCCATGAAGTTGACCTTGTGTCTTAGCGGCAAACGCTTCCGGAATATCGGAATGATGTTGCCAGCCATGGTCATTTAACGTATGGAAAATGACTCATATATATATAGTAGATGATATTCCTGTTCAACATGGCAGTTTTCCCTATGTTAATTTACGGAGGCTAGTTGGATGGGATTAATATGTTGGCTATATATCCCTATTTCATGTTCTACCCAGACATTACCATCCCCTTAAACGTTTAATTAAGAGAATAATAACAATTCAAAGAAGACCAGTGCATGACTCAACAGCCGGGTGCCATGGCTTTTCTGCTAGACATGGTTTTGGCTTTCTCATGAAGCGCGTAGCTTGACTAGTCTCTTCCCCTGTTCATATTTGTTACAATGGTCCCAAGGATGTGCAAATCGGCTACTTATTACATCTCGTTACCATGTTTTGTGGGAGGTGTAACTCATAGGAGGATGTGATGATACAAGAGCTGGAAGCCGGGGAACCACGCTGCCAGGAAGGACATGCCTTACGATCTCGAAAAATTCACCACTTGCGCATCAGCGCTATTGGCAGATCAGTTAACCAATGTGGTGGATATCCATTACCGGCACCTCGAAGGAATCGGGGTTCAGCATGGTGAAGCTGTCAAGGAGTAGCTTTTCGGGCTAAAAAACCAGAATGGGGGTGGAAAAGTGACGATAAACCACCGGATTGTGGAACAGACAAGATTTTGCCGCAAGCGTAGATTCTGGTTTTGGTTGTTTGAACTATGACACTATATGAACACTATATGAACTATATGAATTATGTCATATAGTGTTCTAGATGGATACAGCCAGAAGATCTATGACACTATATGAACCAAAAAAGTGGATCCTGCATGATCCTGCTTTGTTCTGTCAGAAGCTCTCAAACCCAACCTTGGTTGAAGAATCATGGCCTGAATTAGGGCTCTGAACTTTCCAGCACATAACTCCCTGTCACTATAAGACAAGGAAGCTTGGAATATCATGCCAAACGGCCTCAAAAGAAAAACAAGCCGTGCAACAAGTATATAATATGAACCTGATAATAATGAAATCATGTGTATATATACTGTATATATACATATATCATATATGTACACTAATATCTACTTACAGTATATCGAAACACACACACACGCAGTTTCTCCTCTCGAATTTCCCAGAGTTTCACGAATCATCCCATGATTTCTGCTGTACCTCAATTCCATCTCAGGTTTACAGCCGATTCGTGCCTCATTTGCAAGAATGTGTCATCATGTCATCTTCACTGCCCCATGGATTTAACCAGCAAAAGATTGGGATCTAATTTTGGATGATCGTGTGATTTTACCAGCATTCACAAAGGGATTTCACATAGATTTTGGAGTCTGAAAATGGCTTGTTTTTTGAAGCCACATATATGGCCATTTTCATGGGAAAAGGATTATAACATAAATCGCTTGATTTGGGGGTACCCAATTTTCAGACAAACTCAAAGGTTGGAATCATTCAGTTTGAAGGTGCTCAGATGATGGTCTGATGAAAATTAATGTTTGGTGCCTATAGTGCCTATATCAAATGCATTCAAATGCCATTCGCAATAGATGTTTGCTTACAGACACACACACACACTTACACACGCACACACATTCATATGTAGATTCCTCACCAGAGTTCTTCAATGACTCCCCAGATGTACCGACTTTTAATGATTCAATGAAAATCTCTCGGGGCACACACTTGTTGGTCACTTCACACCGAGTTCATTGAGCGATTGCGAACCCTCTGGGGTTCAAATGGGCGACTTGCGTGGCTCGGCAGCTGGATGGGCCGGGATTCGATGTGATAGGATGGGGCAACTGACTTCCTGCCCGTGCCGCTAAGACTTCGTGGAACAGCGACATGATGTGGAGGAATCTCCGTCGTACAGGTTGGGCAACATTGGGCAACTGGGCAACTGGTGCTGTGGCCATGCTGATTTCATGAGCAATTCCTTGGTCTTTGGTGTGGCTCATGGGTTCCTAGTTCCGGTGTCAATTTGTGCACACGTGCAGACGTGTGTTGGCAGTTTTCAATAGCTACAAAAAACCTCAACCTCGAAGGAATACATTTGACGGCAGCAGTTTGGCATCGCCAGGGGGCTCTTCACGATGTACCATCTCTACTGCATGGAAGCTGAGTGTACAGGCGTATCTTTCACTGGTGTGGAAAGTGGTTGACCATGGATGAAATTCTATGTTAGAACGCAAAGTTACGGACTTTGAAAGCATGTCAGAATCTAGCCAAAGACGCGGAATCGGCAGAGTGACCAAGCTTTTCCTCTCTTCGTTTCCCATATTTTTTCCCCCAACGGCAGGCTTACCCATCAGCGACTTTGCATCGATGGACCTGAAGGCTGTGATGTTGGAGCTGATGTGTAATTGTGTTCACCGCAACTTCGGAGGCCTAAAGAAGAGAACTCCAGGCAAAACCAAGGTGTTTGTGTTTCTGTGGAAAAAAAAACAATATTTTCTGATCAACCCCAAAAATATGTTCAAAGCTCTACATGATTCTACATCCCATTGCGAACCAACGTGGCTTTCTCCTAAGGGAACAGTCGAGTCACTCTGCCAGGGGGGTGCGATCTACAGCTTGAAAGGCTGGACATGGGCATCCGCCCAGCGCGTCATGGCGCCTGGGCCTGGCAAGGGCTTGGTGAACATTTTTTTGGATGGTATAAATATGGTGTATGTATAAATACGTATGGTATAGATATATGTATAGTATATTATCATAGTGTTATGATTCAACTCTCATCATATATCATATTTACTTTATATATATATAGAGATATTACTTACAATTTGCATCATCATAATTATACAATGTACTTATGTACATATATATGTTAGCAAATGGGTGTAGCTGAAATACGCTACAACCCCAGTCACGGATGGTTCATGGGATGGTCTTTATGTCATGCTTTGCCACAAATCTTTGCAGTCCCGTTAAATGTCAATAACACATCCCATTAAATGTCATTGATGGATATTGATGGTGATATTGGGGATGTAAAAATACATCATTTGATTTATAAACACTAATTATTATTGAACATCATTAATATCCCACTAACAATATTGTGGCTAAAAACCACATCATTTTGAATCCCGGACCCCAGATTTTCCTCGCCGAGGACATGATGAGACATCGGTCATTAGTCTTGGAGCGTGAGCAGGTCGTCCCCCGGGACTTTTCTGTGATAAAAAACCACCAGGCAACTGCTAGGATGAGAGTATGCAAGATATGGTAACATTTACCATCAATATACCCCCAATGTTAGCATATATACCAGCACCATGGATCCTATGAGTATGGAAGCAGATTTGTCTGAAAATTGGGAATACCCCGTTTATGGACCATCTGAAGGGGGGTGAATCATGATTGACCATGAAAAAAAGAGCTGTAGAATAGGGAAAGCCTATTCTCAGACAAAGCCACATGGTTGTGTCAGGGCCAAGCCATGCAGCTCTGGCAAAACATGAGCAAAGAGAGTCTGGACACCGTTGGAAGGTGCAGCGCCGATGGGGGGAGTTTATCGCTGAGTCTATCATTGTTACTGAAAAGGCCATTTCAGAGAGGTATTTGTTGATTTTGATCCACGTCATCCTGTAAATTTACTTGAGTGTGTGATGGTCTATGACAAACATTGACAAGCATTGACAAACAACATTGAATGGGACCATAGGGACGGGGATCGATGAGTCACTTCGAGGTTGGATGAACTGCTGAGACAGTTGTCCAATCCCGAAAGCGAGCGCGAGCAAAGCCTGGCAGAATCCCGCGAGCTCTTGAGACATGGCATCGCTTTGGGTTTGATGATGGCTTTGATGGTCAAACAGTGCACCTTTTCAGACATGGTCCCATGGTCCGACGAGTCTATGCAATTTAAGTGAGAATTCATTGAATGTAGAGCAAATTTGTTAGTTTCGAACAGTGTTGTTCTTGAGTTCAGATGTTTCATTGCTGCTTCTTTATGAATATGTTTATGACAAGAACGTCTCATGTTTACATATTTTTACCCAGGAGCTTGCTTGAGACGAAGCTGATGGATGCTTCTGCCGCCTGGAAAAACATGGTGTACCCCAGCGAATCCCCCATTCAGGTGAAGTCTCAAGAGATTGCAACATACAACCTGAATCTGAAGTTGAAGGACGAGTGCTATGAAGATGTATGAAGGAAGTATTGCGTTGCTTTGATTCTCTTTCCATTGCACTTTGGACTTGGTGCCAACCAGACGTTTCATGTTTCATCTATGTTTCCATGTTCCAGGCAGATCATGCCAGGCTGTTACTGTAACAGGTGCCACGCGATTTTTCAGCCCTGGTGTCCGAGGGCCAGAAATCTTCTCGCCATGATGACAGCCCAAGTCGCAAAGGAAGGAGTTGGGATGCCCTGGTCGATGCTGTAACTGATGTCAACCCTGGTCGGTAACTTTCTCCATCTGTTGGTTTTGTTGCAGGGTACCCTGGAAAGTCGACAATCCGAAAAGGGCCCCTCAGCACACTAACCCCCAATTTAGGTTCACTATGTTTAGATGTTAAAGCTGGATGAACCTAAAGACAGTCTGTGACACAGTCATCAAAGTAGTCATCAACCCGCTAATCTCCACCCCCATCAAAACGATGAAGCCGATGTATTGGGCTATATTTATTGGGCCTATATATTCATTTTGGTGGCCCGTTCAGGTGGGAAATTAGAGTTGATTTATAGAGGATATTGACAGTATAGTACAACCGAGTTTTCAATGGGATAATCTCCAACAAACCCCACTCTATTCCAAGTGGCCCATTTATTCACAGCTGTAATATGTATTATGATCCTGAAATAGATAGAACATGGAATGGTCAAATACAGTACATGTTCATTTTATTGCATTTTAGTGAATACTTTTGAAAACACAAAATCATACTTGTAGGATCCAAATCCGAGAAATTTCGAGGTGTTTCCGCTTTTCAGTGGTTTTGCTGGAGAAGATCTGCAGGTATTCTATCTTCTGCATGATTAGCCTCTATCAAACCTGGCCGGAGAATCCAGCACTACAAATCGATGATTTCCAGATGGCCAGCTGGTGCTAGTTTGGATTTTCCAGGCTCGATTAGACAATTTTTTCCATTCGAATGACTCAAAAAATCTCAGATGTTAGTTAATGTTACACCAATATTTCCCATAAATCACCAATATTTCCCATAAATCACCATATATTTCCCATAAATCACCATATATTTCCCATAAATCACCATAAAATCTCATGAAATCCTCTAATCAAGTCCCTTTGGAAAACCACGTAAAGCGCGGATCCGGGAACCAGGTTTCGTAGAGACGTTGCCCCCGTCGATGTTGGCTGCCATGGAGATGTAGCTTGGAGATGGTCGAAACCGCGGGACGAACAGCAAAATGTGATTGGTATGTAAAAAGGAATAGAAATGGTTGAGCATGGAAAAAAAACAGGACTACAACGTGCACTATTTTGAACCGGCGATTACTTGTACGGTTAGGGTTGTTCTTATAATATGGTTATAACCATGGCCATAGCTTGCACCTCCAAGGCTGCCAAGGCCCAAGCCCTTGCTGCTTTCAGGTCTAGTATTGCGTCTGACAAGTTTATGGAAGAGACGCAGTGGAAACAGGTGGAGGTGCCCCTCATCAGTGACTGTTGTGGCTGGTTTTTCTACCCCTGTTGATGATCAGTTCAGGGGTTAGTCACTACCCACTATATGTATCTATATCGGTGAGTTGTGAGTATCATGATCCAACGGGAATCTCCGCACTCGAGGCTGCCAAAGTGAACAAAAAGGAAAGCAACGGAAGTGGCTAAGGCGGCGAATCGGCTCTCGGTTTGCCCATGGGAATCCACTCGATTCTGCCCAAAGTCTCTGGTGGTGCCCCAGTTTGTTCGCCTCGGTTGATAACTTATGGCGCCAATATTTGTGTTCACTCAGCTTTATGGGATAGGCATATTATATGATATATATATATATATATTCACTAATATGATATCTATAGTTGATCGAGTTCTGAAAGCCACCAGTGATTTGAGGTTTTGAAATGGGAAGACTATGCCTTAGTACGCTGTTGCTGTGCGAGAAAACTGCTGTGGGCACCGGGCCTGCCGGGCACCGGGGCGCACTCCGCCGTCGTTTCACAAATGTGAAGACCTGGAGTCTGTCGGAGTGCCATCCCCTGCGCCTGCTGAGTTATCTCTGCCATGAGTTGACACCTGGGAGTAGCGAGTTATGGTCGAAACAGGGGAAACACACTGAGTTTCCGCTCAGGGTTTCAATGTGGGGTATATATGTACCAGACATTACCAGACTTGCCTTAAAGGTAACCTTTGTTTGCCCAGACCACAATCGCAAGACAATGCCAGACATCTTTGCTTTCCCGTGTAAGAAGGGTGTGGTATGATGGGAGTTGTACGCACTTGCCTTAAATGTTTTGAGGCATTCTCGTAGCTTGTGGGGTAGCACATTTATAATATAAGTGAGAAGTTCCTGGTAGTCCAGAAATATTGATTTTCCATTTGTATCTGCCATATCTGAAGTGGTTACAATATGTTACAATGCTATGTCGGCGGCAAAAGCCAAGAGATATGGATCCAATCTGTGCAACAAGGCGGAGGTCGAAAGCAACCAGGCGTAGCGACCCGGTTGGACATCTCCGTTAGGACTTGTTGGTTTTTGTGTCAGTACCTTCACCATCGTTCAAACATGTTTCATAAGCGATGTTTTGTTGTCTCAAAATTGGGAATGCCCCAAAATGTTTTGAACGGGGAAACAACATGGAAAAAAAAAACAGTTAAAGTTAATGAAACATATTTTAACTATTAATAATTTCAAGTGGCGGACTGTACGCACATGTCCCTTTTTGTGTGGAACCCACTTTGCCAGCCTGGTATGGCGCAAAATTCTGACACAGAGGCTCGCTTAAAGAGAAAGTCTGACCTGTTTACGAATCGAAGTTGCCCAGTTCCATGAATGCTTATGTTCTATTTTTGAATTATAATTATCATGAATTCAATATTTTGGGAAGCTCAGATTCGAGAGCTATGACGTGTATATATATATATTGCGAATCCCTGACACGATTCCGCCACAAATCCTGCACCGGGCCGCACTGGGGGGAGTTTTCAGCTCCCTGGTTGCTGGCTGCGTCCAGTCTCGTCCAGCGAGCGATGGGCTGCGCAGCTCAAATAATTTCACTGAAGACTTTTGACATGACGCCAGCACGAGAAAACACCAACTTTGCCCGTTGAGCTTGGCATGCAATGGATGTGACGGATATTGATGGAAGCAGATGGTCATCTACGATTTGAATGTGCCATTTGATCCTCCATGTACCAGCTGAAAAATGCTGGAGGATCTGGGTAGGCTGGAGCATCTCCTTGCTGCACAACGCATGTTCTCACTTGCCTTATCCCCCTGCAGGTCTCAAGCCCGTTTGATATGGGATGGACAGCCCAATCCCCTGGTGGCAGAATGTCATCCTGAATTCGTTAGATTTTAGAGGAATGTTGATATCTAAATTTGAAAGCAATGATCTGTAGTCAGCAGTTTTTTTTCTGTTGACTGTGATAATGCAATATAATATATATATATATCATATATATATATCATATATATATATATATATCAGAATATCAAATGTGATACAGGCAAAACAGAATCAAATGCTCTTTGAAGAGACTTGGTGCCCAGTCGCTTCGTTGGGAGTTCGGAACCAGCAGCCAAAGCATGACAGGTGACATGGACGGCAAAGCTGATGATTTTCGGGCATGGAAAAAAAACATGAAAACCGCACTGTTGGTCTAGGCATGTACTATATAGTTACTATATGACTATATATCACTGTATCACCATGGCAAATTTTGAGGAATGTCAAGACATCCTTTTGGTTAGAAGCCCGAGAATTCGGAAGCTGTTTGCTCTTCAGTTGGGGCCCATTGATAGTGATTCCAATTGCGATGGGTTTTTTCGGGACATGTCGGGTCCGGAGGGTCCCACCAGATGAAGGAAAACACGTCATGAAATGTGGACCGGCCTGTCTGAAAATGGTGCACTCCATTGCACCATTGCACCATTGGTAATGATAAAATCCATTTTCATCATCATAGGGAAACAGTGTGTATATATAGATATATCCACATATATACTGGGTGATCCGCTTATATATATATATGTATATATATATATATGTATATATATATATATATGTATATATATATATGTATATACATATATATATATGTATACATATGTATATATATATGTATATATATATATACATTTATATATATATGATATGAAGAACATGATGAAAGTAATATGGTATTATAGTATATTAAATTAACTTAATTTCTATTATACTTTCCATTTCCAATATTAATGTTATTTATAACATTTTTTTCCATCGGAAAGTATACCTTCCATTGGTGCATGGTCAGTTTCACCAAACATTGCCGTCCCAAGGTCATGTCCACCGTGACGCTGCAACTAGGACAGCTGGGAGCCCGAAATCCATGCTTTTGTGGTTGGAACATCGTAGAAGTCCTAGGAAAAAAATGCTAATATTTACCAGCACATAGCCATTAGAATCATTAGAACTTGTGACTTTTCATGACTTTTCGCAATTTTTGATGGTTGGGAAATGGGTCCAAGAAGATTTTGGAATGGCATTCAACTGTATGCTGAGGTGTGGGAATCAACTTGGAGAAGAAGTGTTTTCGAGGCTTTTTCAGGAAGCAGAGGCCGAGGGAGGCTGAGTGGTGATTATATGGATAGGGGTCAAAACTATTCAAAACTAAAGACCTGGGGGACCAACAGAGTTAAGTTTA